CAGGCAAGAAGGGTGTCTGCAAGAGGACTGCAGGGTCATCCATAATGGCCACCGGAACAGGAGAAGAAAACACGAAGGACATGTCACAAATGGAGGAGAATCTTGATCTAGCTCATAAGGGGAAGTCAGGCTAAGTCAGAGAATGCACGGTAGTCGTGTTTGTGATGCAGATTCATTCATTCTGGTTGATGCACCCGTATTACTAGAAATGTCTGTTTCGAGCATGCGATATGCATTGTCTATATAATCAGAGATTCTGCGTGTGGGGCTGCATCCAGGATTCGATAAAGAACTAAGGTTTGCATTTCGGATTCCAGCGGGGAACGCAGAGCCACAGGACTGTGAGGATGTGAACACGCAGCCTGTCCCGGGACAGTGGTCGCGTGTGCTAAGACCAAGGCTTACTGAGACGCCGCACACTGAGGTTCAGAGAAGACGCCGTGGGGGAAGAAAGGAACATGTGTTTCTTAACTACACCTTACTAAATTCTACAAAACAGCATGGCTTACCAACAGGCTGGACATGTATATGGAACCATCTACTCTAAAAGCCCCCGGGGATCGCCCTGGCTGGTTTGGCTCAGCGGTTAGAGCATCGGCCTGCGGTCCAGAGAGTCCTGGGTTCGGTTCCCGCTAAGGGCATGTACCTCGGTTGCAGTTTGTCTCCGGCCCCGGTTGGGGTCATGTGGGTGGCAGCCAGTCAATGTGTCTCTCTCACATCGACGTTTCTCTCTCTCTCTTCCTCCTTCTCTCCCTCTCACTCTATCTGAAGATGAATGAAAAAAAAAAAAATGTCCTCGGGTGAGAAGAAAGAAAGAAAGAAAGAAAGAAAGAAAGAAAGAAAGAAAGAAAGAGAGAGAGAGAGAGAGAGAGAGAGAGGGAGGGAGGGAGGGAGGGAGGGAGGGAGGGAGGGAGGGAGGGAGGGAGGGAGGGAGGAAATAGAAGCCCCAGAGACCCCTGAGCCAGCTGCGATGACAGGATGGCAGACATCTCCTGACCCCGAGGCTGAGGAGAGGGAACGGAGGGCCACAGTTTGTCTCCTCAGCTCAGAACTGTCCAGATCTGATGGGCAGGACTGTGAAGAACCACACCTTCCCACCTATAGAAAAGCGCCTTTGTCCGTTACCAGACTGCAGGGTAAAATTTCCTTAAGTATATTTTAGTCTCCAGAAATTGGCCTCTAATGGCCCAGAGAAGGCAGTGGGCAGAGCTGGAGAAAGACGGACCTTGTCCTTGGACAGCTGTGGGGCCGTGCCGGCACACAGCAGGTGCCTAATAAATGACAGGCAGTCTGTGGTGCAGGAGAAAGGATGTTTACTTACATTTTCCCCACCTGACGGCTCCTTCCTAAACACAGTCCTTCATCCTACCCACACTTTCCATGTGACTAAAAGTTTCTACCTCAGCAATGCTGGGACTAGGAGGCACTACTGCATAGTGGTCAAGGGTTCAGGAGCTGGGGTCTGGCCCGGGGTCTGGACACGAGCTCTTCCATTTCCTGGCTGTGTGATCTCAAACAGGCCACGTGTACGTGAGATCTACCTGAAAATGGGCACAATGGGAGTACCTGTCCTATATTACTATTACTATTTATTCTGGAAGGTGCAATCCAAAGCTTTTATTCACCATTCCCTTTGTACCTGAAACTCCCTGGACGCTGACTGTCAGTTGAGGAAATGAACAGCTTTGCAAAACACAAACAGACGACTAAAAATTCACAGATAAAGATCTGGCTTTTATGGTAGATCTTTGTATATTGTGGGGGTAGCCAGAAGCATTTCAAAGTTTCCTAAACTGACCAAACAATGAGCTACCCATGGACTCTACTAGAAAAGAAAAAGAACTAGACCAGCTTTGGAACGTCTACCTTAGAGGCAGCAAACATAAGTTAAAGCTATACGTTTCGACATAAGATAGCAATGTAGAGTGTCTATACTACATATACTTCTATATTCCAGCATTTTCTAGGAACAGATGAGTCATGGCACCACTGCAGCACACTTCACAGTATTAACAAAGAATTACCTAGAAAGAGAGAAATGCAGTTGGGAGCCATCAAAGTAAGTTTTAACTAATCTATAAAATTAAAATGTGAAAGAAAAATACTTTGTCTTTCCCATTCTTCTTTCAATCTTCTTGCTACATTCTGAAATTACAGTATATAAAACTGCATACCTAAATACTGAAAATAGCTGGCATTTCTACTTGAATATTACTTTCTTGTTGGCCAAATTAATATATTCTAATATACTCCAGGAAATTCTAATTGCATGAAATTTATGCTAAATTTGTTTTTAAAATTTTCTTCTATTTACTTGTGCAGCCATGCAAAGGGAGGTACATATTAAAAGCCTTTTCATTCATCATTTGTTTGCTATTAAATTGTTTGGGAATTAAATTTGTTTTCATAACAATTCTTCATCTAGAAATACTGGCTCGTGTAATGCTACCTCTCAAGATTGATGTTCTTTCTTTATGAGGAAATGAACAGATAAGTTACACAACAGAGCAAGTAACACAAGAATCTCGTTAAACAAGTTTTCTAAAAATAAGAGAATTCTTTCTATACACATGGGCAGATTTCTAAATATGTGAAAACCATAAAAGACATTTAACACTAAAACTCTACGTATTTCAGAAAATCCAATCTTTTTTTGTCACCAGAGACCTCCATGCCCAGCCCACAGCTCATGTACAACTCTAAAACCTGTGAGAAAATCCAACCTTTCACAAATGATGTTGAAGATGTATTAGATGCTACAATGCTACAGGTCATCATTAAATTGGCCATCAATTTAATGCTGGTTATAATGCTTCAGCCAATGAGATACCAGATAAACTGGATTTTACTCTCCCGGTCTGCCCCATAAAGACACATAGACTGCGTGAGGATATGATCCTGCTAGATCCTACCAAAGCTATAAAAATTTTGAATTAGAGAAATTCTGACTTAGACAATGTAGTTCCCAGTCATATATACCAACCCGACATACAGAAATCCCTTTTAGTGGTAGTGGTAAAATTAAGGATGTATTTTTAAAGTGTCAAGTCAAATAGAACATTGTTGTAGTACATAATCAAACATGAGATTTAATATTGTCTTTATCTAGTTTTAAAAAAAACCAAAAACTGCCTTAATGGATCCAATTTAGATTTTTAAAAAATCAGAGGATACAGGATTCTAGGTTCATTTAGTAAGTTAATTTCCATTCATTTGTATGGACTTCTAGATTGTGTGCAGTACATGTATTAGCTCCCTACTGCTGCTGTGACAAACTGCCACAATATAAACATCTCCTGGGGCTAAGATCTTCTCTGGAGGCTCTAAGAGAGAACTGTACGCCTTCGCCTTTTCCAGCTTCTAGAGGCCGCCTCATTCCTGCTCATGCGCCTGCCTCCATCTCCATGTAATCTGATATAGTCACACCCAGGCCACAGGCCATCTTTGGCCACTGTTCTGCCTATAATAGTATATCAGATCTGTGCCTAAACCTGCAGTATTCAATTCACGTCAATAGTCACCCAGTAAATTAAAATCCTCTAATAATAATATTATTATTACTATTATTCTTTGTAATAAATATTTAAAATAAATAAAAAGTACAGCCCTGGCTGGTTTGGCTCAGCGGTTGGAGCGTTGGCCTGTGGAACAGAGAGTCCCAGGTTCGGTTCCCACTAGAGGCACGTACCAAAAAAATAAAAAATAAAAAAATAACAACTACATTTAGATCAGATGATCACATCTTATCTCAACAGACATGTTAATTTTCCCAGCCTCTGATTTCTTCCCATTCAGGTTTGCACACATTTGACACGTTATCCATGAGTTAATTACAACTCAAAACACTATAAATTGTACACTGATAAAAGTATTAAATTCCCTTAAGAAATGGAACATATATTGCTTACAATACCTGTTAATGTGTTATCACAACATTACTTATCTTTTTTACCGTGAGGCTACAGCTGATACAATAAAAGCGTCATAAGAAAATACTCTTCCAAAAACAGATTTCACACAAACGTTTTTTAGGAAGAGGGTTTTGGAAGAGTGAGTCTTTATTGTTGGCCTGGATTCTGAAGATATCACATGCTGCTTTAGAAAGAACAAAGAGAAGACCTGGCCCAGAGATCTTCACCATCTTGCTTGAAGTCACCCAGCTAATCGGAGACAGATCTCTCGCCTGATAGAGTAAATCAGCATTTCCCTCCCAATTATGATGCTATTCACCTGACACATGAAACAGGGTCAACTATGACTCTTCATCACTTTATCACATTATAAATCAAGAGCTTTGCTAATTTATACCTCAAGGGCTTGTGGACGTTGTATTTTATCATTCTGTCCTATGGCAACCTGTAGCCTAACCCAAAGATAAAAACCCTAAAAAGACCCTGTGTAAATTATACAAAATTTGTAAAATGTTACACACTAAGGACGCGTGTAGTATGTAAAGGACGCGTGTAGTATGTAAACGGGAGAAACTGTCATGTTGACAACAACAACGAAGGATGATAAGTCTAAACTAATATTGTAGATAATATCCATAAATCAAAGGAAAACCTGAAAACAACTTTTTCATGATAAAAACACTTTCTTTTTGGTGGATAAAATGACAAGAGTACAAGCATTTTTGAAATGGATTTTCTGGGAGTAAATAAAAAATACTTTAGAATCAGTACCGTTTGAGCAACATCATTATGTCATGAGTATTATAGAAATTCTGTCATTTCCCCCTAGTATTTTAATACATGCTCTAAAAACAATCAGCTAAACACAGCTAGAGCTTTAACTTGGTAAACTACAGTTACCACTCTGAGTTTTAAACTAATTTTGTTCTAATATTAAATACATATTACCTCCATAAATATGTAGATATATAATTTCCTTCAGATAACAGGACTGAGTTCCACTTTTAAAAGCTTTAGGAGAAGAAAGCCTCATAAGCTATCAACAAAACTCTATTTGCTGGGTTTGTAAAGGAGAATTAAAACACTTACTTGATGTAATAGGGCACTTTGTTATGGGAGATGGATCTCTGCCAGGGCAGCTGGACCGAAGCTGAGGAAACAAAGGGAGGTTACTGGAAACACTGAGAACCCACAGCCTCGGGCCTTGGTGCAAACCAACTGAGCACGTTTACAGCAAAGCCAGTGAGCCTGCTCGGGTTTTGAGCTGGATTCCTATCGTTATGAAATCTGCAAGGCCAAAGAGCCACTTTAAAAGTTCATTGGAACCAAGGAAAGAACAACACAGGTTCAATTTCCAATGCTACCTCTAACTAATTGACCTTGTTAATAAAAAAAAATTAAAAAATTGTTTTATTGTTTAGAGTCAACATAGTTTAAAACTTAGTGCTGTTTGGAAACTATTATATCTATCTATCTATCTATCTATCTATCTATCTATCTATCTATCTGTGTGTGTGTATATATATATATATATATATATATATATATATATAATGTTTTTAATTATACCTGGTATATTCAGATTATAAACTAGATTTCCCAAGACTGGAATTTCCAAATCACTAGAATTTCCAAATCACTAGTAATATTCATTACTTTGCTTTATGTTATATTCACAGGAATAACTATTAAGAACAGATGATATTTAAACAAACTCAATTATATAAATGTTCTTTAAAAAGGGAAATTAAAATAAACATAGGCAAAGGATTGTAAAGAACCAAGACAATTATATGAATAGAAGAATCCCAAAAATGTATTTTCATCTTAAATGTACAGAAAATAGAGTTTCCTATTTTTTTATACTTCACATCACTATGATGGAGACTTTGTGGTTTGTTTTACTGAGATTTTTTTTTTAATAATTCTAGTTACTCCTTATTTATAAAAATATATCATGCCTACATTAAACCAATTATTTTAAGACTTATTTAAGAAGAATTATACATGTGAATCTAGAGCTCTTAAGAAATTTTGCTAGAGGAACTAATTCAAAAAAATAAAACTTCACAACTATCACTAGACTCTTACATAACCAGTTTTCACCAATGATTCTCTCCTGAATTTCATGTCATATTACTACCTTAAAAATACATAGCATTCTCAACTTTGCAAAGCATTTTCAAATATGTCTATTGATAAGGAAGCCAACAAGATATTGAAGCTCCAGTTGATAAGTGAGAAAATAAACACTCAAGAGATGAAATCAGTTGCCCCAGGAAATGGCTGAGCTCAGATGTGATCTCAGGATTTCTGACCACTAGTTCAGCGATTTTTCTATTCAACAGTTCTTCCTCTCTTTATAAGATGTGAGGACTCCTTTCTCCAACTATGTCCATGAAAGTACAAAAAGGGGATGAAAATGTGGAACGAGGTACATTAAATTTCTCATTAGAGCCAACCTCATTTCAGTGTTGGCACCAGGCGAATGGGTCAGTTTCTATTTTGTGCTTAAGTAAACAGGCTCCTTTTATAACCAGGGCTACCATCCAAGGAATATAATAAAGCCAAAAACTCCAAGCAGCAAGGGATAACAATTGTTAAATGTATTAATTGGGATTTTGTTTACACGTCTGGATTCATTTTCATAATTGTTTTGATTTGAATAACTTTGCCCTCCTTGGACTGTCAGTGCTAGATAAGAAAAGGAAATGCGTTTGAGGTTCACAAATTTTGCAATGTTTCATTTCCTAAGAAACATGCGTTTGATTTTTATTATGAAAGAATGGTTGCTAGGTGTAGGGTTTCATCCGTAATAATAGATGAATAATCTTTATAACAGAACTATAAATAGAGTCTCAGTTTCTTGTTAAATTCCTCTTTAATTTGGTCTTAGCACATAGCATTACATTCTGTAAAATTAAGTTTAAGAAATCTGGAGTGATTCATACCAAATGAGTAGACTGCAGACTATTTACTTCATGAACACGGATGGTAGCCAAACTTCAGAAATGTGTCCTGGCACCCAGCTAAGAGAGTAGATCACTCAAAGACAGGCTGTCTAAGGTCTCAGGTGTGTGAACAGGTGGGAGAGGATGAGGGAGGCGGGAGGAGGAGACGGAGGGAGGGCGAGACAGCTTCAGCACTGGGGAGTGTAGGGCAGGAAGCACGAGAAATTACTGATAAGGATTATTCTTGAAATTGTGAAAGAGAGGCCTGACCTTGAATTGAGGTAAAGTAGATTACAAACCACGACAAAAGATTAAAGGAAAATATAACTGCAATCAATTTAGTTGGAAGACATGGTATTATTTCAGTTCTGCCTGTGGTTATAGATACAAAGAAGTTATCATAACTGGGAAAGAGGCTTTGCCCTAACATTTAGACTTCACTTAAATTGAATTAAGCAAATTGTTTCCTTACATGTTTGCCAGAGACAATGAGAGGAACAGAACCGATGTTTGGTGAAAGCATTTCTGAAGAACTGTTAGGTGCTTTGCGCAATTCAGTATGTTTCTCATTTAATTTTCAAGGTGATCGGGGGAAATAAATGTTATCGTAGTAATTGTAAGATAAAGAAATTAACTTTCAGGGATCGCAGGTCTGGTAAAAAGCAGGATTACTAATTTAACCCCAATTTGGGTGACTCTGAATCCTACATTCTCCAGTGTCCTCAGCAGTGAAGGATGAAATCGAAACCCTACTTATTTAGTCCAGATCTCAAGAACAGTCCATAAAATAAAATAAAAAATCAGTTAGAGAATATTACATAAAAATCTACATATGTGGTTTGGCTAAGTGACCAGCGGAAAAGTTAAATATGATTGCAATGAGCCTAATAAATAAAAATCTGAAGTTTTACTTTTAAAGGTACTGGTGCATTTTAAACTAAGAAACACCTTTTATAAGGAGAAAAATTAATTTAGAATCTTAGGATATAAAATTGATTTCTTTATTGTGAAAAAATTCGTAACTTTTGCATATGACAAAGCAAAGATGCTGTGAGCTACAACAGTTGTCATAACAGACGGCTCAGTGGAAAGCCACCGCCAAAGTCAAGTGACTTTGGTCCCACTTCAAAGATGTATCAATTGTGGCCAGGTTATTGCAAATAAGAATCAATAAACAATATTGTCAGAAATGTTAATACATCCTTTTATGTATTTATCTAATATCAGTAAATATACATATAGCAAAGAATATGGCTTCTTGAGTGAAAAAGTGTGCTGATTCATTCATTTAATGAGATCAGTCAAGCTTATTAGTACTTACTAGAGAGAAAATGCTGAGAAGATGGTCCAAAATCTCGATGGGCTTCCTGGAGCTGTTTAAGGCGATCGTCCACAGAAACCTGCATATCACACCCACAAAATAATGTGATTTCTAAACAATAACGTTAATAATGCCCTTCAGTATTATCGTAAATGATGCTACTGCCCAAGATATGATTGCTTGTACAGACTCCATCTCCATGTCTGAAATCAAAATCCTAAAATGAAAGTAGATTCCTTCTGGCACCAACTAACAGCAAATAGTGCCAGGCACGCTTTTAAGCAATTTATATGAATTAACTATTTCAATCCTCACAATAACCATATTAACATTACTTATCATGATCACCATTTTACAGGTGAAGACACTAAGACACACAGATGTATCATAGGCACCTCATTTGGTGCCAAAATCCATGCCTTTACTGTCACCCTACACTGCCTCGGAAGCAGGAAAGGTTGGATACATCTTCCATTAAGATGTGGCCACGGGGTCGGTGGCTACTCATCTCTTTTGTAAGAAAGACGGCAAAAAGTGCTAGAGGGAGCAAATGAAAGTCTAAAGTAGTCCCAGGGAGAACATAATAGATAAATAGAAAGATGGCTGAATTAGATGACAGAGGACAGAGACTAGGTAGATAGATGATAGAGAGAAGACAGATGAGTAGGGAATACCTTATTTTCCTCCATGTTTGTGTCCAATCATCTCAATTTGTGGGTATTCATATGCCAGCAGATTAATACACTATGTATTTGTTCACACACATTACATGGTTAACTCTCTACATTATGAAAATGCAAAGAGGTGGGACACTGTGAAACTACTGCCAATCAATGACAATTGCACAAAGGCTACTGACATTTCCATGTCCCTTTCCCTGGTCTTCGCCTCGGCAGGGCGGGGAAGCTGTTCCACTTAGATGGCCCGCCTCCTTCTCGCGGCCTCTGAATGAAACACGTAAGTCTCACGTAAGTCTGTGGCTCTCCGGGCAGCTTTAATTTCCCCTGACTGGCTGTTCAAGTTGCGTTAGCAAGTACTTTTTTTCATCAAGGCCAAAAAAACATTCATCTGCCACACTTTGCATTTAGGAGGAGAAAACAAGATCCTCCTTCTGAAATTTAGCAATGTTGTCTGGCGGCATAGGTCCCCCCACTCCCTTATTCTACCAGCAACTAACATCTGGGTTCTAGCAGTCGCCAGGCTCAGAGATAAGGAAGACAGAACACACATCCTCTTTCAAACATAACACATTCTCTGAGTAGTAATCTTTGTAGACAGTGATAACAGAAGCAGAATGGGAAAGAAATCAAGATGGACCATAGGAATCACTACATAAAAAATGAGGAATTAAGGAAATAAAGCACAAGAAAAAGGAGTATAGGTCAAACATTTCTGTCTTCCACTCACTAGAAAAGCACATTTGAGTTTAACATATCCTACCTTACTCATCCCAGACTAATTACTGCCTTACTCTTTCAGAGACAGAAAAGACTGTCTAATACTATACAACTCATTTCATACCACTCAGTTTCACGAAGAAAATATGAATCCACTGTGTGTTTCAATGCTTGAATGAATTCAGGAAACCTATTATACCTTTAAATGTCTCTGCATGCCACCTCAAAGTTACATATGTATCTTATTAAATATCACATTATAGGCTAGGATATTGAGAGAAATTAGTAAGAATTATTTTTCAATCTCGAATTATTCTGCTAATTTTCAGAAAAGAAAAAAAAAGATTATTCTGATTCTTGGGAACTAGCCATTGAATGTGACAAAGCTCCACGAAGATGGGCCAAAAACTACTGATTGGCATGGGCAGTGGTTTGCAAATGCTGATACCTAGCAATACTCGAGAGGGTTCTTCTTGGGTTGGCTCTATTAAATCTGGGACAAGGAAGTAAGATCTATTATGGCAACTAAGATCTCAGAGCTAAAGGGAAACATCTTCCATTAAGATGTGGCCACAACAGTATTGCTTTGTTGGCTGGAAAAGTTGGGAAAGACCCTAAGAAGCACGGGGTTGGAATAAGAAGGATGGAGAGTCCTTAACTTTTCAAAAGAAATAAAAAATACATAACTAGAGTAAGAAAAATGACTGCTTTATAAGCCATTATGGGGAAAATGTTTCTGTGATCTAGCATACGTTTCAATTACTGTGATTTATTTGACCTTTTTGCAAATTTCTACAAATATCATAAGAACAGTACATCAAAAATGACATTAAAACTTATAAATAAATGAGGCCTTTGAGGTCAAGATACTGAAAGACGACTGATGTCACATGCTACGAATCCACGATCAAATACAACCAAGAAAGAAAGAAGAAAAACGATGGTGCGTGGTTGAATAGGTATGGTTTAAAGACCCACCAAGGTCCAAACCTGGGTTAGGAAGAGGAATAAGCTGATACCTGCAAAAGTTTCCATCGCATATTCAGATCATCCAGCTGGCGAGACATCTTCAGGGATGGGTGCAGGTCAAGTGGGGACAGCTGACTCGATAGGTCATTCACTGTTTTCACTTTCAAGTTGATCGGAGCAATTTCTTCTCGGAAGGCCTGGAAGACACGGACAACAATCATGTCGTCAGAAAAGAATCTAACCAGGGGTAGTATTTGGAACTTTCCTTCAAAGAAAACGGCAAGGTCAGCGGAGAGGCCAACCACAGTTCCTCAATCAACAGCTGCCTCAGTTCAGGTCGTCAGCAACCAAGACCACCAGCTAAAGGGTCTTCCTTGATGCGGCAGACAAACTAAAACGGAACGTGACGAGAAGACTTATAATGCAGGCACATATTAGTGATTATGTATTTCCTTCAAGTGTTTCATTACAGGCTATTCAGTCTGAAAAACACTTGTCATTATTATTGACCCTGCTTCTGTCTTTAAATTTCTTTCACATGTTCGTTCTATTTTCTTTCTATATATGGCCACCTTAATATTTTTTCTCACCTGATGCAATAACTTAATTTTAACAAGTTTCCACTTAAAATGAAGTTTAAACGTGGCCAGTAAAAACATCTTCCTTAACCACAAAACCTATGCCTACATATACTGGAGAGGTAAGGTAGTCTCTTCCAAAAACACCCAGGATACCGTGGTTAGAAGCGGGGCAGGAGAGGTAGGGAAAAGCGGTCAGTGAGGCTTAGAACCGACCATGCCGCCTCTGGCACGTAAGCGCTGGGATGGGTTGGGATGGGGAGTGTATGTGAAGAGGGGGCAAAAAACAAAACAATTGGGGCCAATGACAGTCACATGTCCTGTGAGAGCCACAGAATAACGAAAACATTACATTTTTTCCATTCTCCACATTTTACCTGACTCTATGCTCGCATTCTCTTTTTCCAACAGTCTGCCTAGAACCTTTAAGACTCAACCCCGGTGCCCACCCATGTGGCCCATTTCTGAAAAGATTTCCCTGAGGCCCCTTCCATGGGTTCCCCAGCGCTCTCTCCACCTTCTCAGCCCAGCCAGGACATTCGGCTAGCATGTGTCTAGACACACAAGCTGGGTTTTATAGTGGAGGCCACTCTGATTGTTTGGTGCCATGCCATCCAGTTGTTATGTATTTTTAAAAATATGTTTTTAGTGATTTTTTTAGAGAGAGAGGAAGGGAGAGGTAGAAACATGGATGTGAGAGAGCTACATCGATTGGCTGCCTCCTGCACGCCCCCTACTGGGGATCAAGCCTGCAACTCAGGCATGTGCCCTGATGGGGAATCAAACCCAGACCTCTCAGTCCATGGGACAATGCTCAAGCCACTGAGCCACACCAGCTGGGCTGTTATGTATTTTAAACATCATTCCTTATCAGAGCTCTCTGAGTGCATGAAATTATAAGCATCCATATTCTTAACGTCCCCTGTGTAGAATGAAGCTTCTTGAGACAGACGCCTGGTGGTATTCAGCACAAAGTCTACAATACACGAGGGGCAGAAACCCTTTCTATTGACAAAGGCCCCCAGAAAGGATACCTGAGGCAAAATTAAGCCACTATGGAATGGGGAACAGAACTGGATTCCACAAACAGAACTGAACATTTTATTTTATTTTATTGTTTTGGTACATCACAAGATTAGGTTTAACCATGTACCAAACTTAACGTACAGGTCTTAGGTGTGGTAACAGCCTATTAGCATCGATCCTCAGGTGTTACTGCTACTGCGATCGCTGCCCCTTAAGAGGCTGGGCAGATGACCATGAGCCCCCTTCTTCTCCTCATTCATCCTCCAAGATTAATGAAATAACATATATTGCAGGGCTTTGGGGACTATAACATCTTATTAAAACACGACAGGTATTAATCTGGCTTCCTCCTTATGAGCATAAAATCAAAGCCCCTTTGACGTTCCCCTTCTTCCTTCTCTGCTGCATAACTTTTCCAGTCACCCTACACAACTCTCCCTTACATAACGTAGATAGGCTAAAAGGAACCATTATGATTGATAAACATCAAAATAGTCTAAGACTCTAACTATATTTACAAAGAAATTAATGTATGGAAATCAGAAAAGATGCTTTAGTGTTCCAACATTCTTGAACATGCCCGAAAGCCCCACAGAGAAGCTTAAGGTGGAGAGTCTGAAGGGACAGATCTGGAGCCAGAGTTGGAGTGAAAAACACAGACGGTGGAGGCAGCAGTGTGTAAATCTGAAACAGTGAATCTGAATGTCAATGTGCCGAAGGTAAGAAACATTGTCAGAACTTCAAAGACATCGACATTGCAACATCCAGCGACATTGCACGCAAAGACATGCGAATTGCTGGGAAGCGAAGAAAGAAGGAACTCAGAGTTGTGATTGTTCTTCTCCGTGGCCGATGTCAGACAGTGCGCACACAGACAGACACACAGACGCAGTCCAATGAGAAAAGCAGAAATATGATCACAAAGACATTTTGTGAACATAGCAGAGGCCTAAAGAATTAGTCACTGAAACAGAAACATGGGACAGAGGGAAGTGGGGGGTAGGGTAGGGAAAGAAGTTTTTTCAGCCTGGACTTTGAAGAGCCCCTCAGATTCTGTCTGAGAATACCTACCAAATTCAAGGCTTCAAGCTTTCTTCAGCTGTGGTTTTAATATTATACATAAATATTCCCTCCTTGAGTACCTTGGAGGACTCAAGAATTTTAATCAGCTTTTAATATCTTTATTAAGTACCCAAATGTAGGTATTTAAAATCAAAAATGAAATGCTAGAAAATACTCCCAGATTTATATAATTTTAAATGACTAGTTTTCCCACAAACGATGATAAAAATGTTTAATTAGATTATAACATTAAGACAAATTTTTTATTCTTCCAGAACAATAAAAGTTTTTAATTTCTCCTCTATAAAGATAATGTTTTTCTTTTACGAGCCATAGGTAAAAATATGAAAAGACATACAAGGACGGTAGGTTTTGTTTCTGTTGTGGAGGTCAGGTGTTTTATGGCTATAAGAAATCTCTTAAGGAAGTTTATATTTTGGTTTGTATGAGCTTCCAAATTAAGGAGCTTGAAATAAAACACGTTTTTAAATGGTTTCAGATCAGCCATGTGTCTATTATAAACAAGCAATTTATCATGATCTGGCTGTATTTTCCTATAGGAGAAGAAAAAATCTATGTGGTCTTCTTGCTGTAAACATCGAAACATCTGCTCAAGTTGAAGGCGCTGCCCAGCAGCTGCCGGCAGATGTGAGCCCAGCCTGGCCTCCTATCAGGAGGTGTGCATTAGGCAGATATGAATGACAAGGTAATTCTATGGAGTTAAAATTACTTGATTACCCCAAAGATTTAGTTTCCCACTTGCTTTGGCATATTTAACAATATTTAGCAATAATCAGTACTTATTTTCATCTGCCTATAGGTTCCATGCGGTTTGGGGTATACTTTGGAACACATGTAAAACACCCCAGACTGTGACTGAATAAGACTTGGGGTTTTCTTTTCTATTCCTTTTCTAATAAGATGTTAATGTATTTTAATCCACAGTTTATTCCTTTCTCTTAAATATTAATTGTAACTTTCCTAGCTTTCCACGTGAGCAGAGAACTGAACAAAAGGATTTGGATGCAGCGGCGGATAATTTATTTAATCAAATGGAATTAACAACTCCAAAGCTTTTAGGCCTTTAATAACCTGATAAGACTTTTTATTTTCATCCAACACTAATCATCCTATATTAAAAAGTGATACTTTCAAATTCAAATGGATAAATCTTCCTCCAAGAGGCATTTTGCAGTCCAAAAAAACATAGTTTTGTAAGCCACAGACTTAAAGCTCTTCAGTATTTAAAACCATCTTTTAAAATACAAGAAGTAGGAAACTCCTAAGAAGCTTTATTTTCAGTTGGTTATTTTAAACTCAGATCAACCTATGGAAATAGGTTTTATAGGATACTAGAGTTGTAGGGAAAAACCTACTTAATTCATAGGGTGGCTAGAAACTTAATGTATATTTAAAATGAAAGACAGCAGGCACCAATATTATTTTAGTAATAATATATTTTAAGTTTAAAATGTAACATGTAACTTTTAAAGCTTTGAATGTAAATGCATGAGCAAAACTGTGGTTAATTACATTGGGAATGTGGTCTCTACAATGAAAGAGAAGAGTTAGAAAGAAATCATGAAAACCCTACCACTTACTAGCCAAGTGGGCTTGAGCAATAACTTCAATTCCATCATCTGTAAAACGGGCATAATAATAATAATACCTATCTTGTTGAGTTAGTGTGAAGATTAAAAGAGATAGCCATGTAAACTGGCAAAGAACAATTCTTGGCACATAGTAAGCCTCAATTATTGCCTATGTACACACACACACACGTACAATTTGCCTGAGCATTCAGTTAATTACCTAGACCTTTCTTCTCATTCGGCCACATGCATACAAACAAACGCAAAGCATTAGCCAATGTCTGTAAGGATGTCTTTTGCAATGAAAATCCCATTCATGAGAGATATTGTGAGTTAACACCTTCTGATTTTTCAGTGGTTTATTTTTTGATCTGATTTATAACTAGTTGACTATGCAATGACAAACCACACTATACTCTAAATCTGTTATTTGTGTCTCTTATTGCCTAAATCCCATTAATCTTTTTTTCTGGATATGTTCTAGAACATTGGCGCCCAAGTAGGGTCCAGAAGATAGGTCTAACATCCTTAACTTTGGGCAATTCCTGAATATAAACAGAATTTATAGCTAAACTAGTCCTTCATTAATATACTCAAAACTTTAAGTATATATATATTATATACACACAATATTTAGTATATCTGTAGTATAAATACAGTGAGATAAAATATGGAGATAAGAAGTCCCAGTACAACAGTATATTTTTGATTAAAACTTAAATTCAACTGCCAATTTACAGGAAATATAGAGTAGAGAGGCATCTGCCAGACTATGCCATGTGGATGAGATTCTGCAAAATCCAAGCCGTTAGCAACACTATAAAACAAACAATTTAGCTGCTTTAACAAATACACTACAAAAAAAAAATTAGAGGGAAATATTGGAAATTAAAAGGGACTTTAAATTTTTTCTTAAAAACCAAGTAAATGTTTAGGGATGCACAGTTGAGTGAAAAAAATATAAAGAAAAAAGAAAGTAAATTCCGTAAAAGTCACAGTTGTCATTGGAGATGGAATTCTGAGGGCAAGGGGCACAGGAAAAGGACCGGAAATCTTTTAGATCCTGGTTTTGGTAGGGGCTGCAATGCCATTGACCTGATAACAATCCCTTATAACAAGATATATATTTGCTATATTTAACAGTAAACCATTTCTTAACATCCTTTATCTGAGAGGCAGTGATGCTCACCATGGTTTTTTCAATGTGATCCTGCAGTGAGTCAATGAGCAAGTCACCCACCAGCTTCCAGCCGTTCCTCACGGCCTCTGCCTCTTTCAAGTCGGCGTCCAGGTCGTCCATGGCTCCCTGCAGGTCTCTGAGTTTCTCCAGCGCCTTGTCCACTTGCTTCTGCCAATTACTAGTCACAGCGTTTAGACTTTCCCACTTCTCCTTCACCTCTGAAGACTGTTTGCGCATGGCTTTGGCAATCTTCTGGGCTCTCTCCTCAGGAGTCAATTCTGTGATTTAAACAAAAAAAGAATATTCAGAAGCCCGATGAGTTTTGTGTTCCTTCCAGACCACTGTTCAAAAAGTTGCTCCCAGGGTACATGGAGACAGTCACACCACCCAGGATGAAACAATCTCTCTGTACTTCTACCAATGGCCCTCTACTCCTCGAAAGAACACAGTTACAGGGTAATAAGCAGCCCAGTGTTTTTGGTGGCTTTTGAATTTTAATGTATTTGCAAACCTTGACATGTCACAAGATAAGGAAAATTTTTCTTTCACGTGAATTTAGTTATGTAAAATCTAAAGACAGTTTTTCATTTCATTGTCCGCAAGAGAAAAGGGGAGTCTAGTTAGGAGAGAAATAGCTTTAAATTATGAGGAAAATTTCTGCAAAAATAAGATTAATTGTTCATGTTCCTAAAAAAATAAGAATAAAAAGTAACCGAAGACAAGTAACTTGTCTTAGTTGCGTTGATCTGGCGGGTCATCTTTAACACAGGGCACTTTCTGCAGCCCGAATGAGTGCAGCACACAGCAAGCGTTTCGAGAGAGAGAGAGCAAGATTTCAAGGACCAGCCTAAATATTTGATAGACACGAGGGCTTCCAGAATGTCTGAACTAAAGTTAGATGTTCAGACAGGAAAGGGCAGGCACAATGCAAAGCCACAGGGTGGGGGCAGGAAGACAGTGTGCATCTAAAAGACGAAGAAAAGACAGATAGAAATGAAAGTCAAGTTCAAAGCTCAGGGTCAGAAACGTAGAGATGAGAAGCTGACAAAACAAGAGCAGAGGGATTGATGGGCACAGAGCAGACACTCCCAAAGCAGGATAGACAGATCACCAGCTAGACCCTCCCGGGCCTCACTACTCTCACACCCAAGACGGCTCCTTTCCTGTCTAGCTGGTTTGATGGTTTTCCTGCTTGTCCACCAGAAACAGAGAGGCAGGTCAGAAACATACAATCAAGGCAAACTGTCAATTAAGAGAGAAATGCACATGCTTCTTTGTGATAACATCCCATCTTTTAGTATCAGTCAGGTTAGCAACATCCACTCCACCTCAAAATAGGTCAAAATCATCATCAAAGGCACTGGAGTTCATTGAACTTCCCGGGAAGATAAATTCAGCAAGCTCTCCTTAACCATAACTTTCATTACTCAACATAAATTTGTCTGCCTGTATTTATTTAAATATTATTTAAAAGTCAAGTTAAAGGGGACAGAATATGTTTTCATCTATCTAAATTTCCAGAATATTCTAGATATCAACACTTAGACTTAAAAGCAGCTGTCATAAATCTCAGGGAACCAAACGGACTCAAAAAATTAGTCACACAGAACTCTGAGCTGCACTGCTGACGTGCTGTGAGGATACAGAGAGACTTGAAAAATCCCCTGGCAACTAAATTGGTTATAAGCATAGACTGTGTTATGAAGGTAGACTAAAAATACCAGCAATGTTAAATATGAAAAAAACAACTGAATTAGAGACCTGGCTTCCAGGAAGGCTGAAGCTGGGACATGGACCAGAACAACAGTGAGAGGAGGAACAGAGAAGTCTGGAGAAAAGCCCTAAAACATTCATGTCAGGAGGCTGAGGTTCCTGAGAACAAAACTCTGGGAGAAAAGGTATGTCATTAGCCAAGTCTTCTTTAAATCCTCAGACCTTCATTCAAGACACGGAGAACATGGTGTGTATCTAATACTCTCATTAGATATAATTTATTTTTATATAAATATAAAGTGCTATGCGTGAGATGAAATGATCACTCATAAATGGCCTGATGAGAAAGGGAGCTGATCATTTCTATGATGGCGACACCTGTGTTTGTTAATGAGTCACTTGAGCTTTTTCAAAGATACATACTTAATTGCTAACGTTTCGCTTTTGTAAAAAACATATACATATACAGAACCCATTTCAGAACAGACACTTTAATGATGATCATTTTCCTTGGATAAAATGAAAACGGTTTCTGAGTCAGTCACTGGATTACCTGACACACAGCTTCTTTCTCCTGTGACAAAATACCCGACACCGGCTGTGACTTACTGTCTTCTCTCAATGTGAAATCTTTTGATTGAGCAGTCATTTTGTAGTATGTATTATTTAATCCCTACTCAAGCAGCTACTCAGAAAAAAAATAAAAGCTCTATTTCATCATCTGTTTGCAGGAAAGAAAACATAACTAATCACAGAGTCAGAATAAAAATGCCTCCTACTGCAGCAAAAATCTGTTTATTATTATGGTTCTTTTTATTGACTTGAGAGAGAGAGAAGCATCAATTGATTGCCTTCTGCACATGCCCCAACTGGGGATTGAACCTAAAACCTGGGTCTGTGCCCTGACTGGGAATCGAACCCACCACGGTTTGGTGAAAGGGATGATGCTCCAACCAACTGAGCCACACAGGTCAGGGAAACAATCTCAGTGTAATATAGCCTTTAATCCAAGAGTAGAGTGTAGTATCCAGCCAAACAAAAAACTTTCCAGAATATTCGTAGAACAAATAATAAGAGGCAACATGTAAAATATCAACTTATGACAATCTGGAGTGAGAGAAAAAAAATCAAAACAGCAAAAAACCAGAAAGGATGAAAATAAAAAGAAATACATTTTTAAATCCTCTTGTTATTCAAAAATCAAAAAAAGTTTGCTTCCAATTTTGTGAGTAGATATTTTGTGGAAAATGCTAAGACTCTCCCGCAGAACGGGAGGGTCTACCGGAGCTGGTGGCTCATGATGCTGGTGACGTATTAGAATCCCCGTGAGAGTTCGTTCCTTTGCTGGTTTGTTTTTAAATGCTGATCCCCAGGGCCCTACCCCAACGTCTTAAAAGACTCTGACTTGGTTGATCAAGGGTGCAGGGCAGCATGGATATACTGTAGAAGCTATCCAGGTGAACGTAATGTTACCAGGACGGAGTTTACAAAGCCATGGAAACGCAAGGCCAGAGAGCAAGGAATCCAATTCCCATTTGAAAAGGCAGTAATGGAGGCTAACCCCAGAGACAGAGGACAGCAGGATAAAACCAGATAAATGTACTGACAATTCTCAGACCAGAAGCACTTTTCCTACCTCACTGTCCTATCGCGTGTGTGTGTGTGTGTGTGTGTGTGTGTGTGTGTGTGTGTGAGAGAGAGAGAGAGAGAGAGAGAGAGAGAGAGCAGGGACTGCACGCTTCATTCTTCATTCTCACCGTTTCAGGCCTTCCCATTTAACTGGTCCGACTTTGAGGGTGGAATCACATTTCATTTCTATATTTATATTATACACGTGACATAATGTATTGTAAGTATTACTACATTTATGTTATAGTTATATAATTTAAAATAGCAATTGCTTAATTGTGTTGCAAAGATATTCCAGGAAGACTATCTTGTAGGAAGAAGAGAAAGAAGTGAGAAGAGAGGAGAAAGGAATGATCAATTCTGAAATTTGCTCTCTGGTCCAATTATCTTCCTTCTCCAACTGTGCAAATCAGCCGGACGGCATTCCCCCTGCTCTTCTTTAGACCGCGGGGGAAGGCTCCCGGAATACGGTGCAAGACCAGCCCGGGCCCAGAGCAGGGACTAGGATGTGTCATCAGCTCCGCTCCCACCTTGACCTTCGCTCTGACCTGTACCCAGCTGCATCCGGTGGGAACCCTGTCATCTCACACTGGGAGAACATTTTACACCGAAGGACTCTTTTACCTCGAAAATCTAATTAGAAAAGAAAGGCAGAGCTGCCCTAAGAAATCTTAACAGTAGAGGGGAAAAATATCCCTTTGTGTATTTATACAAAAAAATTTTTTTAATTAAAAAAAATGAAAGTTCATCCCATGAAATAATTCTAGAAATCTATTACAGTCAGCCCTGTGTTATTTCTAATAAAGATGTCCCAGCTATATTGTATTTTCTTTCTCAATTATGGCATTGACAATTATTATCTCCCATGTGACTTTTCATTCTCTAGATATTACAGCTTGATGTCACTTGTCTTCTATTTCTTTCCATCTTGGCTTCACAGGCCTCAGTCTAGACGACTGTCCTCAATATATACTTACTGAATTTAATGGAATTTTTAGCTTCAGTCTTTATTGAGAATACGCAACTTCAAAATTTGAAGTGGAAATCTTCCTAGCTTTTCTTCCGCCTCCTACACTCTTGTAAAGCATTTATAAAAAACAAAATGTTTTACTGGGAAAGAGAAGGTTTTAGAAAGTATTTTAAGTATGGTCGTTTCAACTATCTTATTTGTACAATCTGTTTTTTTTTTTTTTTTACATGAATGTATATTCTTACTGTTGTATTTCACAAAGAGATGAAAAAAATATATAAGAAAAACAAATATAGGCCGGTGGTGTGACTTGGTGGACTGAGCACCATCCCATGCACCAAGGGGTCAGCTGTTAGATTCCAGTCGGTCAGGGCACATGCCAGGGTTGTGGGCTCGATCCCCAGTAGGGAGTATGCAAGAGGCAGCCAATCAATGTTTATCTCTCATAGATGTTTCCATCTCTCTCTCCCTTACTCCCTCTCTAAAAATCAATAAAATAAAATAAAAAGAAAGAAAAACAAATGTAAGAAAACATACAGAAAAAAAAATTTTCAGAGTAGCTTCTTCACTCCTGAACAATTTGGAGTAAGAAAAGATTAGGACATCATAGGCTAGATCCAATACTAACTAGTTATGTAATGATAGATATATCACTTATCTCTTTGAATCTCAGTTAACATAAAGCTATTGCCACATGCCTGGCACATAGCAGGGCCTCAAAAGAGTTAATTTCTTTCATTCCTTCTTTTATCATATTATGAAGTCTGGGAAGTTTGAGCATCTGTAGAGATCTTTACGTAAACAAACCCAGCTAATCAGCCAACAAGAATTCAAGGGCAAAAACAATGCATCCCCATTTCTCTATAGACTTGACTTGACTTGCTCTCTCTCTTTCACTACCCTCCATTTCTCCCTGCTCCCCTCTCTCTTTTTCTTCTTCTTCATCACCAAAAGATGCTTCTGATT